CCTGGTAGATTTGTGGGGCCAACCCGAGCTGAGAGACCAGATAGAAAATAAAAAAACAAACAACAAAACGGGAATTTTTGGAGTGCTTGCTGACAGATTAGCCAGTCTCGGACATGAGAAGAGAACGACGGCCCAAATTCAGACAAAAGTGAAGGCATTGCTTGCGAGCCCAATACAAGCTGATAAAAGATCAGTTGAAAAAGAGTGGTTCGGGCACGTCTGATGTAAAATCTTTGATTGCGATCCACCCAATCACACGCGCGTATATCGAATCCCGTGAAACAGAGTTGGCCAAACTCTCTCTTTACTTTATTACGGCTCTGCTGTTTCGACTTTCATAATTTAGAGGTCAATCCAACTAGTGTGACCGACCCAGAATTTCGAGCCTGGCTTGAAATCTCACCCGCGGTGAGTCAAGCCAGGTTTGAGACGCTAGTGTGACCGTAGCCTTAGTCATTTGTCAAAAAGTAGGACCAATTACCAATTCCCTGACTAACCTATCACACTAGAAAGTATAATACATACTCCAAGTATTGAAATACACGCCATCGTGTATCGTAAAGAGAGAGTTTGGCCAACTCTGTTTCACGGGATTCGATATACGCGCGTGTGATTGGGTGGATCGCAAATCAAAGATCATCACACTAGTTTAGTTTAGTTTAGTTTAGTTTTTATTTGGAATCACTTTTATTACAGTGGCACACATTCAAACTGATGGTGCATCCAAACGACCAAAATCAACAGAAAATTGAAAAGAAGAAAAACAACTTAATTACGAAAATCATTACAGAACAAAAGGTTCGGTAAATAAAAAAAAAACAAAACTTGAACTAAAGAAAAAAACTTAAACTAAAAAAAAAAAAAAAAAAATACATGCCTATCAAATGAAATGAACCCACATTCCATTTTACAGAAAAATTACACTACAGTACCACAGCATAGAGTATATACGCAAGTGCAGTACTCGATAACTGATTACTTACCTAAAGTGAAGGAGCAGCCTGAATTTTACACCACCAAATGATAGTTAAAAAATAAAAACTAATCTGTAAATGTAATTCTACTTTTTTTCTATTGGGCACTGGTTTTCTCTGTAATCACAGTATCCTATCTTATTTGTTGCACTGGAACAAAACAATTGTTTATGTCTGATAAATAGCTTTATGGGATGGTATCATGAAAACAAAAATCCAGAAAAAAATGAGGAACATTCTCTTTTGGTCTGCAGTATATATTTTAAAAGTAATGGGGAATAATGTTTATAAAATAATTGGGAAAATACTCTGCCATAGTCATCAATAGACCATGCCATATGGAATTTTATTGAGATATCCATACATTTTTTTTAATACATTTGAAATGTATAAAAGATATAGTGTAGACTTGTATTCATAATATGTATTAAAATATATTTTGGGAAAGTATAATTTACCCATGAACATCTTGTTGAATCATATCTAAGCCCAAATAACTGCATTTCACATTAGACGTGATACTGTGGACTGACCTTTATTTACAGTATTCAGTTTACTTTCATACAGAGTACATATGTTTTGTTACAATGCTAGAACTGCTCTTGTTGCTGAGTAATTTCATTGATATACAGTATGTGTGTTTAATACATTTTCTAAAGAGAAATTAGCATTTGTTAAGGTCAGCCATACAGTATTCAGTGGTGGATTCAGGGTGGGGCGGCAGTTGGCCTAGCTTCCCCCTCTCCCCTTTAAATTTATAATCATAAAAAATTGGAAAAAAAGAAAATTATATTGAAATGGTGGGGCTGATGTGGGGGACCCTCCATCTATGAGAGTTTCTCTCTGGGCCTCCTCTATTTCAAATTACTGGACGCAGGGTTCCCGGAACGCCACCCTCAGCGGCGAGTGCGAAGCACAACTCAGGGTCAAAAGTGGATCGTGAAATTTGGATATGGTTTCGTAGTCAGATTTGCGAGAAAAACTTCAGCTGCACGTATTTCACGACTGAGACGTCAGTGGGAGCTGTAATTTGTATGGCAAGGAGATTGTGCAACCCTTCATTCGTATTAAGGGAATTTACGCCCAGAAACTTAGTTATTAATATTTTGATTATAATAGAAAATATTCATTTTTTAGTGACGTCACACTCACATTAGTTAGCGTGCATACGTCATAAGCTAGATACGTCACCTTTTCCTGGTAAAGCAAACTTTCCTGGCGTGCTTTTTTCATGGATAAACAAACACCACTGCTTTGCACATGGATGCCTTGCCCAAGCCAGGGCTACAAGAGCGGCATTGTTAGCATTGTATAATACTTAAACAAGGTACCTCTGCAGATGAATTATTCTTAGTTATTTTTTTTCTTATTTTAATTTATTTCTTCCGAAAGTGTGCTCTCTATCACATATAATTCCACTGTCTTAGTTAGGCCTAGGCCTAGTCTTATGCCTCAGGTGTCCCCCGCTACACAGTACGGTACATCAGCAGCCCCTCCTCCATACAGTACAGATATTTGCTAGGTAACAACTGATTGCACCTTCCTTCCCAGGTGTTCATGTAACATTGACATAATTGTTAGCTAACCAGTTGTGTGTATTTCTTTGTGAAAATGAGTACCGCGGCGTACTCATTTTCACAAAGCATTTGCATCCCCTCTTGGAAAGAGAGATTCGAAGTAATTGTCTCCATATCTTCACTAATTAAATTAATCACCGTAATTTAGCTTACACTTATGAATTTAGGGAGCACTTAAAATGTGAAATAATCATTTCACTACCAGACAAACTCTTATTCATTCATTAGGCCTACATAATAGTTTCATATTGCTGTTCTATATACTCCAACGTCGCTGAAACCGAAAGGTCCACTGATTAATCTCAGATAAGAAAGTATAATACATACTCCAAGTTTTGAAATACACGCCATCGTGTTGGGATTCAATATTTCGACATTAATTATGTCATCATCAGGAATGAAAAATTATCCATATTAGCAAGCTTATATGCACTAGTACCAAAAGTGTTTAACCAATCAAAACATTACCTCTAGTAGGTGGCATAGCAGTGATTTAAACAAAAGATCAAAGCATTCTTACTCTAATGATCAAAGATACCTACAAAAACAAAGAAAGCTCTTTTGAAGCTCTGAGCCCATTGTTAAGCAAAGGGTGTAGTCTACGTATAGCGAACGCTTCTTTAAACAATAGGATAGACCAGTTTCGGGAGCTGTCAATAATGTTAGTACTAGAAAATATTAAACCTAATTTATTACTTACATTACAGACAACATTATCATTTTCAAGTATACCCTGTAATCCTAAAACATATTGGAATGCCTCACAGTTTTTAACATGATCAAATATAACACTATCAGATCGTGAAGAATGTTCTTTAAGTCTAGTTAAAAGCACCTATCTGTTTTACCAATATAATCACTATTGCAGCCTGGACATTTAAAATGATAGACAACAGAACTTCTTTACTCCTTAGGTGTTTGATCCTTAGTAGATATAAAATGAGAAACATTTTTATACTGCCATAAAGTTATGAATTTTACCTCTTTAATTAAGTGTTTCTTTACCTTATTTAAACATCTACGTAAAATGAACTCACCTGGTTTTCCTAGATAAGGCAATCTAACCCAAATCTTAATTATGCTATCGTCAGTAGGCCTATGTATACATTTAGGTTCATTTAATTTCTTAAGTACATTATTAACAACTTTTAAAGGGTACCCATTCCAAGACATAAACTTCCTGATGTTACTAAGCTCTGTGTGAAGTTTATCAGGAGTACACAATCTGTGGGCCCTAGAAACTAAACTACGAATCCAGGAGATCTTATGGTTCCATGGAGCAAAGCTATCATAATGGACATATTGACCTGTATGTGTATTTTTACGATATATACTCATGCTTCCTACACTGTTGTTAAATTGTAAATCAAGAAAGTGTACTGTGTCACTGTTTTGAAATGATTCAAAAGTAAACTTTATCTGTCTATGAAAAGCATTGAAGTAGCTTAGAATTTGCGGGAAATCATTGGGCTTAGCTAATACTAGCGTGTCGTCAACAAAACGAGTATAAAACTTAATAGTACCTGATTCAATAAGTTTAGGAACAATAGACTCTTCTAGTTCAGTCATTAAAATATTAGCTAAAACTGGGCCAAGAAGCGAACCCATTGAGACACCATCAGTTTGTTTATAAAATTCGTTATTACACGTAAATATAGTTTTAGTACAGCAATCTCTAAGTAGTTTCCTTAGCGAATTTTTCTTAAGGTTAGTAGATATCAGTTTCTTATTGTAAACCCTATCAAGAATTATATTAATTAACTTTAGTAAGGGGAACATTTGTAAACAGAGATTCAACGTCAAAAGATACAAATCGGTAACCTAAATTATATAAATTGTTTGGTATAGCTTTAATGCGGTCAGCAGCATCAAAAGAATCTTTAAGGACAAAGTCATTAACCGTTAGAGGGCCTAATAAGTTTTATAAGAACTTAGCTACTCAATAATAAAAAGTACCAGTCGTGTCAATAATAGGTCTTAGAGGTGGAATATTATCAAAATCTTTATGTAATTTAGGTAGTCCATGAGCTCTAGCCGGCATGGTTGATACTGGACGAATTTCTTTGTATTCAATTTCAGTTAGTTCATTTCTATTAAATAGTGTCCGGAGGTAGGCTGGCGCATGGTAACAACCATCTGACTGCAGACCACTGGCGCACGGTAACAACCAACTGACTGCAGACCATTTCCGATCACACATTACTCTCCATAACACAGCACCCTCTAGTTCCGTCACCTCTGAATCTCCCATTGGTACTGTAGAAACCTAGAAAACCTCTATATTCATTCATAGTATTCATTAGCGAGGTCAAGCAATTAGGAAGCTCATGGAGTCCGAGAGAGGACAGAAGATTAATTTAAGAGCATTGAAAGTGCCACATGATCAGTGCTTTAATGTATAACCCACCCTTGTAAATTATAGATTTATTATATATTATTAACTGTATAATTATATAATTTCATTACAGTTTGATCTGAATGATACGCACAATGAGTTGATGATCCACTGGGCTGGTGAGAACAGCGACATGATTGTGGTTGTTACGCGAGACCAAAGGCCAAACTATGAATCAACCAGTAATGCATATTTCTCATGGGATTACGGAAAAACTTTTAGTAGTGTTGGACAATACATGACGCTATACAATGGCAGCAGAGCCACCATAGACCGCTTTTATCATAGCCCGGCTGACAATCAGAGGGTAAGCCTTTTCTTACAAAAATTTTTTTTGTAGTTAAAATGAGCAATATTTAGTAAGGTAAAATAGTTTTTGTATGTTATTTACTGAGGCAATATTATTTTTAGTAGTTGAAAAATGGTGTCCTGCTGAAAAAATGGGAACTGTTAATGACAAATAGATTTTTGAAAATTTAAATACTGGTAAAAGGTGGGAAAGTGGTGTCTACACTTTCAAAATTTCTTGGACAAAAAAAAACTATTGTATGCCCATACAATACAATACAGGAGGGGGGTAGATCTCTACATAGTTTCTATCCCTCCGCCATTAGGGCATTGAACAAGTCACTAGTTTGAATTTTCGTGTTTTATGTTTGTTTTTGTTAAGGAACCAGATCAAATTTCATTGTATGTGTATTGTACATGTACAATTTTGTAAAAATGTTGCCTTTGACCTATTTTGGTGAATATCTCAATATGATTTCACCAACGATGCGTCTCATTTCGTGGTGAGACCTCACATGACAAATGAATCTATTGAGTATTGAGTATATATATAGTCATGATGTGCCTGTATAGGGCCTTGATGTGATTTCGTCATGACCATGTTTTTGTCATTAGACAGGGTTTTAGAAATATTAGGTGTGCAATACAGTATATTAAAATGTTGATTTCATCTGGAGCTTGGGCTAAGGCATTCATAATGACAGCCACAGGTGAGCAACAGGAGAAATGATTGTTTGAATCCAAGAAGATTTAAACAAGGTTATACACTAGGCATCTCCCCTGTAGAATGTACAGAATTAATGTGGTATACAGTAGGAAGCTATAGTATTAAACTCAACATTTCAGTGATGGGACAGAAACAGAGCTGAAAAGTGTGTAGCACAAGCTTACTTCATTAACAAACTTTAGTTTTAGTTATGTCTTGTGATTCATCACATTGAATTTCAGACCTGTTTTGAATTTAAATACTACAACAATGAATATAATTTAATTTGAAGTAATTGTGGTTTTATACTAGTACAAATTTCAGTATTTGGAAGCGTTTGTTTTTTTTTAATTATTATTTTTATTCTGTATAAAAATCACATTTAAGTTTAATAATTTCTATGCTCAAGTTAATTATTTGTATTTTGGTGTTGATTTTAAAACGATTTTTATTGGTTTTTGGTCATTTTCAGGAGAAAATACATCTTTTACTTGTTATGAATGATAATTATTATCTTCATTTATTTCTAATTGTTATTTAAATTTTGTTTTGAATGTTAGAAACATTTTGGTAAATCTGATATGGCATTCAAAAGTAGAAATAATCTAATAATTATCAAATGTATACATTGATTTTTTTTCTTTGTAATTATAGAAAGAGACATACATGTATTATAGTTTTTATATTAAATGTTTGAATATGGTTTTTTTTCTTTTTCTTTAGTACATTTTCACAGATATACTGCACAATTTTGTGTTTATTACTGAAGATGGAGGCAGATCGTTTCACAGACATCATTTGAATTTTAGGCCGACAGACATAACCATGCATGCTGATGATCCCAACTTAGTACTTGCTATGGACAAAAATGATTATCAGAAAAGAGTAAGGGAATTTGTTAGTTGATAGTTTTTAAATTTAAAATCTCATATACAGTACTGTACGGCTGTCTCGGCTAACAATGTAACTCATATTTCTTTTGATTTTGAGGTAATATCATTTGGGAGGTATATAAACACTTTTGATTAGCTGTGAAAATTTCAGGTCTCAACAATGAGTCCTTTCAGAGATAGCATCACTTTAAGCAAAAAATCTAGTGATTTTCCTTGGTAAAAAAACGTAACTGTAAGATTAGAGGGCAAAACAACGTATCTACGATGAAGATACGTTGTTTTGCTTTGGAATGGAAATTAGAAATTGTTTTGAGCTGATAGAGTTTGACACGGCAAAATCAACCGGTTGATGATGACAACGACAACGACGACATATGCACAAGCCAGATAATGCATATGACTGCCCTATACATAATAAATTAAAAAAGTATATTGCATTGTACCGTGCCTGACGTTTGCGAGGTAAAGCATTGTTGTGAATTTCCTTTATAACTTTGCAGTAAACCAATGGTTGTAATTAAAATTTGACATATAATCAAGATGTCTAAGAACATATAGTCACTGCAGAATTTTCAATTTGTTGCCAAGTTGCAAACATCCAAAATTTAAATACTGTTTTTCTTAGAAAGTGAAAATTTATGTTGTTTTGCCATGGAACAGCCGTGTAGGGTAGGGGAAGGGGATGTGTAGGTTAGAGGAAGGGGATGGAATGATGGCAGTTTGGCTTTACTGAACAGAAAATGTGGCAAAGACAAGCCAAACCAGTCACTCGTCGCAAATCGTGTTTCAGAGAAAATGGCCAAAACATGCTGGAATGTCAAATTTTTAAAAATCTATTTTATTGCACTAAACTAATTTTTACATATCTATCCATCATTCTATGCTGTTATTTTCCCCATTTTCAATGTTAAAGCAACACATTTTAAGGATTTGATGATAGTTTCTGCATGAGAAATGCCTGAAATCATAAACTTTGAAGGCTGATTTCTCATATATTGTTCTTTAAACAGCTGTATGTTTAAACGCTTGTAACTTCAAAAGGAAATGTCTGACTTAAATGTCCGATTTGAATGATTTTTTTACCATTTTATAGCTATTATTTTACTCTCTAACACTGTATTAATAACTCAAAATCGATTTTTGCGACAAGTGACTGGTTTGGCTTGTCTTTGCCACAAATGTTTTGAATTTTAGCATGGAATAAACATACAGGACAATCTCTACAGTTTCTTGAATTTCACTGGAGTATTTTTTATTTTTATTATGAAAAAATGAATAATCGTAATATAATAATAATTTTAATTAGTTGTTATTGTAATTTGGAATTTTTGAAAAATAAGGTAACTTAATTTAGTTCCAGACTTTTGTTGCTATTGAATGCTTAGAAGTAAAGTAAGTTTTATGTTTATTTAAAAAGAAAGAATTCATTTACAATAAGAACTAATTGAAATTATCAGCACTGGAATACCTCAAATATTTTTTGACAATAATAATGATAAGATTAAGTAAAATGTTAAAACAACTTTATTTCAATGATAATCAACAAACTGCATTCACAATTTCCTTCTTCTCGACAATGAACAATTTATTATTTGTTTCCCATTATTATTAGCTTTGGAAATCCCAGAATTTTGGTCACGTATGGACAGTGATGCAGTCAAACGTGAAGAGTTACTGGTGGTAAGTCGCTGCAAAATTAAAAGATTGAAACTCTGTATGAAGCCCCCAAGTGCTAAATTTTATATATACAGTTAAACCCCTGATTTACTTAACACTCATCCACCTTACAGTTAATTGTGCGGTTATAAACAGATGATGATGATTCAACAGGCCTGGCAAAAAATGTATGTGACACTGATCATGATGATTATTTTTTTATAAATTGCCTCTTGCACCAAATAGAATGTTGTCAAAACTATATATATCCCAAGAGTGGTGGTCTGGAGGGAGTTAAATGTAGAAATTTCCTTTGAACAACAGGTATAATAATAATAATAATAATAATAATAATATAGAGATTTATGCTGCGCTTTTTCTCAAGGGATGCAAGGCAATTTTTTATTTTTACCATTGGATCCACAATTTGGCAAACCGTCACAAAGAGCAACATAGAAAGTGATTAATTTTGTTATTGACATTCTGGTCCACCTCCAGAAAACATTTTTAATTGTCTTGCTTTGTGTTTCTGTTTTTTGAATATTGTATTGTCGATCAAGTGTGAAATACATGAAATGAAAAACCTTGCATTTCTAGTTGTGCTTGCAATTTAATGCTGATACAAAATATCTAATACATTTAATGTCACATCAACCTACCGTACCAGGTACCAATTTATACACTTGGGTGGAGAGAGACAAATGTAGGTAAAGTGCCTTGCGTTAGGACACTAGTGAAATTCAAAGCGAAGGTTCAAACCATTGACCTCAAGGTTGAGAGAACAAAATGCAACCGCTGGAAATAAATGTGGAAGGGACGTTTTTCTTGAACCCATATATCAGACTCATTCAATATTTTTTTTTTAAATATTAGGAAACTACTATACAGTAATTGATTTTGAACAGTTTCTTTATATTGTGAATCGCTCGCTGTACTTGTTTAGGCGAGACTTTTTGTTATATCTTGTTTCGCAAACTTATTATTTTAAAGATCGTCAGAGGGAGGCAGGAAAAAGTAAAAATAAATTTTTTTTTTCTCATTTAGCAAAAAGTTTTGCCAAAAACATCCATATGGAGGAGAAAATAAAAATAGAAAATCATATTAGTGAATGTAAACAGTGTAGTATGTATTGGGTTGGTTAAATGCTTTAAATTTACATAACTAAGAAGAAATATACATATCTTATTTTAGGAGATTTAATAATAATAATAAATATAAAGAAAAACTTATATGTTTTTTCCAAAATTGCCATTTTTTTCGTGGAAGCGGGTGCTGTCATTGGCCAAAAATTAAATTGTATTTTCATTTGAAATCATCATCATTGGTGGGCAGCGGGTTACTAAACAAGGGATATACTCAAGTACATTACCCAGTAAAGGTTATGACTGTGTCCATTGAAAAGCAAGGATCTTAACCACTAAGCTACAGTTTCATACTATTGTCATTTTTTTAAAATAAATTTGCATGCTAAGAATTCTACACAATGGGTCAGCATTAATAATGAAGACATCAAATTTCAGGAAATAAGCTATTTAAAGCTAATCCTGATATTCAACATACAAGGTGAAGTATTACGATAACATTTTAAAATGACAATTACTAAATAGAGATAGATTAAATTACTTGGCAAATATTTATACAAATTTGAAATTTGTACCTTGAATTAAATTTTGCTGATTAGGTTTTAGAGTACATTGTGTTTCTTAGAATATACTGGCAAGGAAGGAAGGAAGGAATCTCATGAAAATCAGGATCTTATAGTCAAATATAAGTGCAGTCCAATCTATAGTGCAGTTCAGACTTTCCTGAAGGCCACCTCCCTCTCCAGGGTAATAATCAGCAGTTTTATTAAAAAGACCATGAACACCAAATTGGCTGAGGTGGGACCTCAGGAGAAGAATGTGTAAGAAGACACCCATCAAACTCCTTTAAAACACTGGAGTAGATGGGATGCGCCCCCGTACAAAACTTACACAGCCCCCAGGGTAGTAGGGCCCAAGTGGCCTTAACCAGGGCCTCAAGCCTCTTTATAAACGCCATTGAATGCTGGGTTTTACTATATTGTTAGAAAGTAACATAAAAAAATGATAATATACCAATAACTTTTATTGACATCAGTTTACAATCATGATACAGTCAAAATACAGGTTTCCCTGTATTAAATTCCTCTTCAATTAAAGACCACATCCAATTATAGACCACTTTTCTGTGGTCCTAAATTAACAAATGTCTTTTATTTTTGTTATATAAAATTAGAAACCAAAGCTGCTAAAGACCATGGAAACGCCAATCCCAAAAGTGGTTCTTATTTGGAGGGAGACCTGTACCTAAATTACACAAATTATGAGCATGTCAAACTGATAAAAAAAAACAAACCTCTGAAATCTTCATGTTAGTACAACACTAATCAAATTAAACTATGTGTTTTTTTTTTAATTCAGGGGCGTGAAAGATTTTGATAAAATTGATACAATATATGTGGAGCGTATTGAGAGTAATGGGGTCACAAATGTCTTGAAGTCTGAAGATTATTTTGATAACGACTTTTTAATTGAAGTGATCATGGAGGGAGTTGAAGATTTTGAGATCAAAAATAATTACATGTTTGCAACAAAGGTGAGCCTTTATTTATATTTCTATTTAGTAATTATTTTTAAATTATATTTTTATCATTTCAATTTTAAATAATTTGCAAGTAAAGTTACTGTTAGGTAAAATCCATAAAAGACCTAAATAGATCAGGTGATCCAAAGGGACAAATGAAACAATTCAACCATAGCTGATATAGAGACTTTTTGTTATGAAAATCGTGAATTGACTAACACCAATTTCAAGAATGTATATTATATAGCAGGGGCTATTCAAAGACGGGAGTGGAAAGATGCAGGCGGCCTGAGTCTCACTAGATTTTTGAAAAAAAAAAAGAGAAAAAATATCATTTGAACTACCTCTTAATAATAATAATATGGATTTATACCACGCATTTTGCCAAGGGATGCAAGGCCCTGGCAATGTTTTTATTATTACTTCTGGTCATTGGATCTATAATTTGGCAAGCCTGCACAAAGTGCAAATGCCAGGGGGCCTGAGTTCCACTAGATTTTTGAAAAAAAGGAAGAAGAAAAAAAATGAAAATTACAGTATATTTTTAGCTATCTAGAGATGCCAGTAGACATAAAATTTTGATCAATATCCCCAAAGTATGGTTAGGCTAAGGTAGTCTGGAACTTCCATTCGTAAAATTCTCACCCTGAATTGAAATTCCTGGATCCTGCATTACAAGAACTTAATTTAAATGTTGAATTTTATTATATGTAGTAGTGTTGTTAGATATTCCAACATTTCAAGGATATTCATCTTTTTACAGTTAACTGGTCACGGTGGTATAGAATTAATGTAATGTAGTCAGTTATGCATGACTAATTTTCCAATCAATCATTTTTCTAATAATTGTTTACCAGTATGGTGGTTCAGGTGCATTGTGGGTAATTGATTTCAGATAATAATATGCAATCATGTTGGTTCTAAACTAATTACAGAATATATGATAAAAAATATATACTGTCATTTTTAAACTGACAAAATCTATATTTTAAAATATGTAATACTGTATACTTTTACAATATAAATAATTTATATTTGTTTTGTTTAGAAAATCCCACATGGCCTACAGGTATGAACCTAAAACTCTTTGATTAGTGTTTGTGCCATTGATACTCTTCTGGATTTTCCCATTATGACATGTTTTCTCACTTTGGTGTTGCTTGATATGTAATGTATTGATAATATACTTGTAATAATATAATTATATAATATTTAATCATATAATTTAATAATCATAATCATATAACAATCTTTAATTATAAAATCTCCTATAATTTTTAGTTTTATATTTCTCCAATGTTACTATTTACTTTTGTTCTGATTTTACTCAATCCTTCTTGTCCATACATATCCTCTTTTGATTTATGAAATTGAACATGTATTAAAACTGTAAATTACTATATATTTTTTTATCTATTTCAGTTAATTTATTACTTAACATTCAATGATAACATTTTTTTTAGTTTTTTTTGTTTTTGTTTTTCCATTGTAATTGATATTCATTATAAGAAACCTTTTACTTATTGATGATAAAATACTAATAATAATAATAATAATAATTTAAACTGAGTTATATAAGTTTTTGGTTTGGCATTGTTATCTATTATTTATTTATTTATTTAAAACTTATTTATTAAGGATACATTTTCAGGCTGATATTGAAAACTTTTTTTACCAATGGTCCTCCAAATTAATTACAATAAAAATAAGTTCAAAAAGACTGTCCACATACAATACAGTTAAGATTATACAGAAAAATATAACAGATTTTTAAAAGTCACATATTAAACAAGCCTCCAAGCTGGGTTATTTGCATTATTATTTTATTTAAATTGTTTAAAATTATTGACTTTAGTTTATTTTTAGTTTATCATTGTTATTATTATTTAAATACTTTTCATAGTTATATTATGAGTTATGCTAATACAGTGTAGCATAATTTATGCTTGGAATATATATATAAGGCCACCAGGAAGTAGTGTATTTCGTGACATTATGCACAGTCTTAGATTAAATATCGTTCTGTGTGCTCTGTAGTGTAAACACCATTCACATTAACAAAAGATTCATTTCATGGAATTGCTAACCGTATTCACGCCCATATTATTATGAATACATTAATGAGATGTTTCTTATCAAACAAATAATTGATCACTCAGTGGATTTATAAGGTGCATAATACAGATGTCTCTATGCCAATAATAGTGCCAGATTCAATAATTAGATAGATTTGATAATTTCTCAACAGCACTTATATTGAAGACGGTGAAATAAATCAACAAAAATGATTTTGTCAGTGATTTTTCGTTTTCAAGTTGACCTGGAAATTGTAGCATGAGGTCGTATCGTCTTGGCCATAGCATGACCTTATGCAAATGCCTCCTATAATAGTGCAACAGTTTCAGTTGCCATATTTTTAAGTGCAACTTTATAATGTTTATGCTTTCTGCAAGAGTTGTATGTTGAGTTATGAAAGAATGAAATTCAATATTATTATTGCTTATTTTGTTAAAATATAAGTTACAGTAAGTTTATTAGGTTTCAATTGAAAATCTCTTGTATTGATTCTCATCAATAAGGTTGTCATCCACTTAAATACCATAAAATCTCGAATTGAAGCCCTGGGCTTTTTCTTCTTTTTTTGCAAACTTTTCAAGATGGGCTTTTTTTCGAGACTACTTCTTCAAAGTAGAGAGGGGGGAACTTCTTTTCAAAATGAATGCTGTAAATTTTGTGAATTTCTGCTATAGAACAATTGACTAAGGCCACTATATAACATCAATCTGTATCATGGATTATATTTAACCGACATTAAATCACCTAAAATACTGTATAAACCAAGCTTGTATTAAATTTATTTTGTTTTCTAAAATTCATGTAGAGTGTATGTACTGTACTATCTTGAAATGAAGCCTATGCTATCTTGAAAAGAAGCCCTTGGGCTTCTTTTTGAGATGGGCTTCTTTTCGAGTGTAATTTTGCAAACTAAAAAGAGGGGAGCAATTCTAGATGGGTTTCATCTCAAGATTAAGCCCACTTGGCTTTAATTTGAGGTTTTACTGTAGTATATTTCAAGAGAATACAATCATAACACACAGTAACCCTCTCCTTCCTCTCATATGTTTGTACTTTTGTGAAAATGATGTAAATCAATAGTTCCTAAATGAGGTTTAAATATATAAAGCACTGTCCAGGCTATCAAATTTTATTTGACAATAAACTAGTGTATGCCCATCTCATGATGTACCCATAAACTGTGTGGTGTGATGTCGTCATGTGATGTCGTCATGACCGTAATAAAACATAAATTTGATAGTCTGACCTAGACTGTAAATATAATATACTGTACCCTGTTTTAATTAGTACTAGAATATTAAAACCCTTTACTTGTCATGGGCCAATATGCCAATAATTTAATTATTCCAATCTGCAGTATGTGCTTGTGATTTAAATTCTGATGATTTGGAGCTGTGGGTATCTCATGAGCGACAGCCATTTTCAAAGGCCACATTCCCAACAACAAAGTCACTTCTTGTGAGTATACTTAGAGGATGCTTGTTCAATATAGAAATTTAAATTGTGATTAATAACAGATAAATTTATTGTGATGATAATAATAATGCCAAATATTTATATAGCACCAATTCCAAATTGAATGATCAAAGGCGCTGAGCGTTATTATCCCTGGTCACTGGATAACATACAATGGTAAACAATAAAAAGACATTTGACTGCAATGACAACTAGATCCAAGGACAGATTAATTTGTCCCTAACCATCCTGTGCTTTCTGCAGAAAGTTTGTGAGTTGCGCCATTTGGTGATGCTAGATTTTAGCTGATTTTCTCTCTCCGCACCTCTTCAATTTGATGTTGTTTTTTAATGTTTTTTTGCTGAAAGGTTTCAAATAAATAAGTAAATTTACCACACATATTTTTGATTTTGTGTAATGTCAGTGGGGGTAGCAGGAGCTTAAGCCCCCCTTCCCATCAGACAGGTCAAGCTTTACCCCACTGGCCAAAGCTCATCGGGCAGTCAGAACCAAAATAAAAAGAAAAAATAGGCCTGAGGAAATGAAATGCATATTTATTGAGTTGAATTTGAGAGTGTAGTAACAATTGTATTTTATCAATTTTTCAAGTCTGATAGTGCCATTTCCGACCATTCAGAGGGCCCTTGGATGGTGATGCGTGCCATAAGACGGCCCCCCCTCCCGTCAGACAGCTTAGCTCCCCCAGATAATATATCCCACTGGTTTAGAGGTGGGGTGTTTGAAACCCTTAGAAAATGCTTGTGTATTTAGCTAATATACTTTATCCACCTAGTCTCTTTTTAACCAGGATATATACTGTTACCTTTTAAGAAAAAATATAGAAATAGTATATTTGAAAGAAAAGCTATCTTAAGAATCACATTGGTCCAGAGAATTCAGAATTACACTGAGCTGTGTCAACTTCAATTATAGGCTGTAAAGTATTTTTTACTATGGAACTTCTACATGTAATGTATTTGAATAATGTGTATGTGCCTTGATATAGGTTCTAGCTCTAATGAAGTAAAATATAAAATGCTATATTTTTACTAACAATAAGTGACGATTTTTACCTACTTATTTTAAATACCTTTGTTTCACCTTATAGAATTTTTACATAGCTGATGCATCCGAAGACCAGGTGTTTGTTTGCGTCAACCATGATAACTATGCAACTAACTTGTATATATCCGAGTTCCAAGGCACTAGATACGCTTTGTCGCTAGAGAATATTGTTTATTACAGTCCTGAAGGCCCAGGCAAAGATTCCTGGTTACGGTTAGTATAGGAACAAGTATAAGCCATGGGCGTAGGCTTGGTAGGTGCAGAATGTGGTCGCATTCCCCCTAACCCTAACCCGCATCCTCCTAACCCTCACCCCCAACCCCCGCAATGGCAGCAAATTTGTTCCACCGAGTGAGGGTTAACATACTAAAAATGACCATTACGTTTTCATCAGAATAGGAAGTTAGTTCTAAATTTTTTAACCCCCAGCCAGGCCGTTCTGCACCCCCTCAGGCTAAAGCCTGCCTGCGTCCCTGTTATGAAACGAAGAAAGATAATCTGTTAATCTAGCCTTAAAAATTAATAGTGATTATTCATAATTTTTTTATTTATTTTCATTTATTTATAGAAATTACGCAGATGAAGACTTTGCAGAGATTCACCCGGTAGCTGGACTTCGTGGCATTTATGTGTCCAATGTTTTTGTCAATCCATCAAGAGGTTTCCGTGAAGCAAACATGCAATCAGTTATTACCTTCGACAAAGGTGGAGAGTGGGGAAACCTGAGCTCACCAGTAGTCGACAGCCAGGGGAAAACGTATGACTGTCCAAAGGTAAAATTAAAGTGTAAAGTGAATGGTCTTTGCGTAATGGTATATTGTCTTTGTTTATTAGAGAGATCCTCATACCATTCATTGTAATAATTATTAATAAATGCCATGATGGGGGCTGCAGTGAAATATTGTAACTGCTTTAACTGCCTCTACAAAAAAAAAATCTAACTACTTGACTAACAAAAGAAATAAAGAAAGTAGTTGAAAGTGCATTGATTGCATTAAAAATAATAAGAAGTGAAAGGTGTCTATACTTAAGCTGTCATCATATAAAATATGCATTAGTATGTATATTATTATTAATTATTAGTTACAAGATTGTTGTACATGTCTTACTAAAACAAAAACAGTGTATACTTTTGCTTTCTATTATGATTATTACATTATATAATTATATATAATTGAGATCTTAATTTTGCATGCCATTGTATTCAAGGTTTTGGTTTCTGCATTATAAAAGTAAAGCAGTATTAAAGTTCATTGCATACCTACTTTTAATATCATAGCATTGCTGTTAATATTCCTTCATTGTTAGTAACCATTATAGAAATGAAGGGCTCCCTCATAAGTGTCTTCAGTGGTATCTTGAGTTGATAGTATATTAAGGAACTATGTAGTTCTATTAAGGGAACAATTCCCTAAAGGGCCCTCCAGAGAAAATCCTATCCTTTAACATTGAATCCAAACTCTATTAATGTACCATGCCATTAAATTACCCCAGTTCCCCCTCCCACAGAGAGCCAGCTTAATCACGTTTTTGCTGTAGATTAGTAATTGTCTTGACTTGCGCAAGTATGCAGACATACAGTATGTGTAAATCTAAGCACCAAAATCAGCACTATCATTGGAAAGAAAGTGGTGAAAATGGCCTTCCGATGAATGAATTGTTTTTAGCAGTCACTTTATTGATAATGATAGTGATAATCGTAATGAAAAATATGCTCATCATGACACAATTACATAAAATTTAATATGATTGAGAATTTTCTTGAAAATGTTTAAGCCTCTCGAATTTTCCCCTTCCCAATTTTAATAAACTCTTCACTGGCTCAGATGTCTTGCCTTGTTTTTAGTTCTGTGTTCACAAACTTTAGTTGTATATTCGGATTCTCTGTGAATTTTTTCCGACTCATTGTATGTGTATCTTTTACAGATTTTAAAGAATGTAATGTAATGTTATGCATGTAAATAATCAACCAAAGTTTTGAACCATGTTTATTTTTTACATGTGTTCGACAAATAAGTAAATCTTGAGAATCTGGTAATTTTTTTCTCTTTATTTTGTGCTCTTACAGGGTACCTGTGACCTCCATCTTGCTATGAGGTATACACAGACATACCCAGGGGCTCGTATCCAACCAATCCTGTCAAAGAGTTCAGCTCCTGGTATGATCATGGCGACAGGTAGTGTTGGTGATACCTTGAACTCATCCGATATCTTCATTTCCTCATCAGCGGGTGTAGACTGGCGTGAGGTAAGGTGTTAAGGCAAGACTTTTTTTACACCGTGTTAAACTTTTTTTTTTTTTAGATCGTCAGAGGAGGGTGGAAAAAAAGTAAAAATAAAATTTTTCTAATTTAGCAAATGGTTTTGCCAAAAACTTTGAAAGGAGAAAATAAATATAAAATGTTATTGTTTAATGTAAAGGAGAAAATAAAAATAAAATGTTATTGTTTAATGTAAACAGTTTGGTAATGGTTAAATGCTTTAAATTTATCTAATTATGATAGATATTTTTTTTTTTGAGATTTCAAGGCAGCGGTGGGCGTAATGAAAATAAAGAAAAAATTTTATTTTTTTCTGAAATTTCCATTTTTTCATGGCAGCGGGTATGCTAATCGGCCAAAAATAAAATGTTATTTTTATTTGGCGGCCAGTGGGTTCATGAAACAAGGTAAAAAAAAGTCTTGCCCAAGATTTAATGATATTAATACTTACCTGGATGAACCAATATAAGCTAGATTCCGAAATTTGAGGCTTGTTACATAACATTGATGCGTTATGGCTAGGATAGACTATTTCATTATTTTTCGCTAGTAAGTTCCATTAGCAATCAGGCTTATATCGGCCAGTCCAGTTAAGTATCTCACTCATAGACCAACAGAATCACTTCGGATTTGTGTGATTTGATTTTTGTTCATTAATTTAAATTTATTGAAAAGGGATTTCTACCATTTTGAAATAACACAAGGCTTGGGCTGAAATGGACCTTTCTGGAGAGTTGATCAGCCTTAACAACTGAACAATCATAACAGCGCTAGGAATGCGTGTGTCTCACAAATGCAAATGTTAGCGTATGCTTTTACACTGTCATTTTGTGGGACCTTAGCAACTAATATCCAAGCGGTAAGGTTTAGCAGAAAGGTCCCTTTAGATAATAAAATAGAAAAGAGAATAGTTTAGGGCACATAGAAAAAATTATTAGATTATCACTCTTTTTATTTTAAAAATTGATGAGGGAGGGCGGTTTTTTTTTTTCTTTAAATTGGAGCAATAGATTATTTCGCTTTTGTTTTTATCGATGAGGGAGGGACTGTTTATATTTGGTCTGTAATAGTAAATATTGTATAAAAATTGGTTTAATTTTATAGTTTCTTAAAGAAATTGTATTTGAAGTCACAAAATTGCATTGTTATTTTTTATGCTGTTGAAATAATTGAATCGGCAAAAATTTTTTTTTATTCTCGCATCAATATTTCCCGAATTTTTGACGCGGGCGAGAGGTATAATCTAATACATTTTTCTATCTGCCCTTAATTGTTAGATTTTGTTACTATGCAAGTTTTCATTTGTTTTTAATTTCAGGTTTTGAAAGGCTACCATTTTTTCTCATTTGGTGACCACGGTGGTGTTCTTGCAGCCGTGCCTCAAAATCCTAAGACGAATCAGTTCAAGTAAGTTAAGTTGTACCTTTGCGGTAGTGAAGGAAGTCGGTTCACCGGTTGTAATTCTGGTTCCCTAGAGTTTGTGTGTACTGCTTCCCCCGTCTCTGTCCCTAATCTTGTTTAATTTTTTTTAATCCGTATGTATTTAGGTACTCGCTAAATGAAGGTGAGACGTGGCAGGTGGACAGGTTTTCCGAGAATAAAATAACCGTGTACGGAATGGTAACAGAGCCAGGGGAAAAAACGGCAGTCTTCACAGTGTTTGGTTCACAACAGTCTTTTCATAGCTGGTTGATTGTTCAAGTCAATGTGACTAAGAAGATGGGTAAGAATCAGACCATTTCCAAATGAATGATAGGGTTGATAGTGAAGTTTCTGTATTCAAAAAACTGAATCAAATTAACTTCTTAAGGCTAAACAACATTACATTATTAATAATCTTAATGATGCAACATTTATATAGCGAATATTTCAATAAACTGCTCTTTACGTTATTTTCCCGTCACTGGACCAAACACCTATGGAACACATCCTCCCTAGGAAATACAATTCCATAAGCTGCTAGAATCAGCGCTTGGTATTAGATCCTACAAGGTATTCACTTATACTCTTGGGTTGAGTGAAAGACAAACGTAAATACCGTGTCTTGCCCAAGGGCTCAAAAAAGTTTCAATCTCCCAACCTCAAGGTTGAGAGTCCACGCCACAACCCTTGCGCCAATCGCTTCTACAAAAATGTACCAAAAAACAAACTGATTTCTATACCAGAATTATTTAACTGTGATGATCAATTATTCAACTTATTCCATTAGGACCCTTTTGTGAAAAGGAAGACTACAAGGAGTGGACCCCAGGAGACGAGTTTGAAGACGGCCATTGTTTGCTCGGCAGGAAGACTACGTATAAGAGACGGTTGACACATGCGCATTGTTATAATGGCATGAACTATGATCGGCCAATTTCAACGCAGAATTGCTCATGTACAAGAGATGACTATGAATGGTATGTATGTGTGTGCGTGTGTGGGTGTGGGGAGGGGGTGTACGTGTGTGTGTGTGTGTGTGTGTGTGGCCCAGGTCCCTTTACTTGCCATTAAGGTTCTTGTAAATGTATATACTTTAGTATGGACAGTCAACCCTGTCATCTGTCTTAAATTGGACCTGTTTATTACTCGACTCCTATATATATTATACATTGTTTAAATGTATCAGTGGCAACAGGTGATCAACTCTGTAGTTAGATGCATCACTTTGGTTAAGTGGTATTGTTAAAAAAAAAAACCCCCAAAGAAATACCAAATTTATTAAAGTGATACAGTGTTCTCCTCAGGATTTTTTAAAGGTGTAATGGGAAAACACGCGACGACACCTTGTTCGGCGCATAATATTCCACGGTACTGATGAGGGCCAACTTTCACTGCCTAGGCTTGAAAATGTCCGAAGTTTTTGATATTTATTTACAAATAGAACACATAAAATGTGTTATCATGAGTATACATGGAACACAAATAATAAACTGTGTTTTAAAAGGTTAAATAGAAAGAGTGATGTAGGCACATTGAGTTTAAAAGGTAGGAATTAGTCAGAGAAGTAGGTAGGCTTAGCACAGCACAGCAAAACATAATATCATTGTTTATGTTAAATAGATGAGTTGCAAGAGCTCAGACTTATGGATTCTTTGGCTACTGGCTTATAGTTTATCCTTTGTTAATGTCAAATTTATGGAAAGATAGAGTGCATTTTCCTTGTATTTTGAAATTGTGTATGTAGAGCTTGTGTTTAAACAATTGATAAACTGAGCATTTACCAGTGATACTACAAGGTGTATCGGTAAGTTTAAGCTGTAACAGTAAACTTGTTTTCTGAATGAAGATGTAACGGTAAACTTGTTTACTGAGTAAAGCTGTAACGGGCCGTTACAGCTTATTGCCCTGAGGATAACGCTGTGATAACTAAGTACCTTCTCACTGAAATTTAATAAATGTAAAATAATAGGCAGTCACACAACCTTGTTTTTCTCTTTCAGTGATGCCGGTTATAAGGAGCATGAATATTGGGATGGCCATAGCTACTGTGAGCTGGACCCTACTAGTGGAATAGACCCAAATGGAGTACCAACACCTTGTCCAGAGGGCACTACATATTACAGGACTAGAGGGTAAACCAAATGATAATAATTTCTTAGCAGAGTAATATTTAACTTGTAAAAAGCACCTGTGTGCCATTAGTATTATGGTGCATCCACATTAGGGCCATGGTGCATGCACCTTAGGACCATAGTGCATACACATTAGGACCATGGTGTGTGCACATAACCCTAGTGCATATATGGCATGAATCGAACAAAAAAGGTGGTGCATATTAAGTTATGGTATGCAAGAAACACTGGGCACATTTTATTAAAATTTTTACACATTCCCCTTATTAAATATGAAGTAAAATTGTTGGAAAATTGTTGGAATATTAAAAGTATTGAGCACTCATTTGTATTGTGTTTGAGAATAATGATTTAAAGTGTTTAAAAAGATTCTCATAAGTTTGTTTTTATTTTAGATATCGCCGTGTAGAGGGGGATACCTGTAGCGGTGGTGAAAATTATCAGTATGATCCCATTCCAAGTTTATGTCCTGTAGCAGGTAACACCACTTTAACTATTAGAAATTACTTTTCATTTTATCTATTCATTCATTCTTCCATTCTTATGTACATTCAATCATTTGTACCTTCATTCATTTTTTTGTTCATTCATTCATTCATTCATTCATTTATTTATTTATTCATTCATTCATTCATTTATAAGTTGTCCAGGTATTCCTTTAATAATTAATAATATTAACTAGTACAGATGAACATTGAACAAAAATACTATGCGTTACATACTCTGGGCCTCCATTTAACCTTACAACCTTGCCTCCTCTCCCTCTTATCAGCAGCCTGTCAATATTCCATCCCCCCCCCCATCAGTCCCCTGTCATTAAATTCTAAACAAAACAATCTCTGTGGTCATCAACCAATTAATGCATGTCTTTTTTATGCATTGTACTTTTTCCATTAGAAAAACAAGAGTTCCTTTTGTATGCAATGCGTTCATCCATCAATCGATATATATTCAGTAGTGGACAGGATGAGGTCATTATTAGTAACCTCCAGAATGCCATTGCCGTGGATTTTGATTATGAGGACAACTGTGTATTCTGGGCTGATATAGCTTTGGATCAGATTATGGTAAAATTCATTCATTCATTCATTTATAAGTTGTCCAGGTATTCCTTTAATAATTAATAATATTAACTAGTACAGATGAACATTGAACAAAAATACTATGCGTTACATACTCTGGGCCTCCATTTAACCTTACAACCTTGCCTCCTCTCCCTCTTATCAGCAGCCTGTCAATATTCCATCCCCCCCCCCATCAGTCCCCTGTCATTAAATTCTAAACAAAACAATCTCTGTGGTCATCAACCAATTAATGCATGTCTTTTTTATGCGTTGTACTTTTTCCATTAGAAAAACAAGAGTTCCTTTTGTATGCAATGCGTTCATCCATCAATCGATATATATTCAGTAGTGGACAAGATGAGGTCATTATTAGTAACCTCCAGAATGCCATTGCCGTGGATTTTGATTATGATGACAACTGTGTATTCTGGGCTGATATAGCTTTGGATCAGATTATGGTAAATCAGTGGAATCAATCATGTTTAGTTTTATTCTTTATTAAACCAACCCAAATCTATTTATTAATTAATGCTAATTAATTAATCCATGCTAGCATTGATTAATTACAGACTTTAAATTGACTGATTGATTTTTTTTTTTTTTTAACATCCCACTCTCAAATGAAACCAGGCAATTCCGGATTTTGAATGGCAATACAGTTAAATTTAAAATCTTTACATACAATAAATTAATACAATAATTATAAATACAACATAAAAAAGGTTATTGAAAAGGTGATAAAAAGTGATGACTGACCTGTTATATGTCAATACCATACATCACACCATCTAATATTTTGTTTAATTATTTTCAACAAATCGACAGTCGGCAAAAAAATCCAAAGTGAATGCCTGGCTGGGCACATCAGAGGACAGCCATGTCTTATATAACCCGTATTTAGATGATTATGAATAAAATTGATTTGAACATGTATTGGCGTGATATGACAGGTGCCATGCCCATATTATTTACAAGTCATACAATTTGTTCACAAAACTTGACAGAACTTAATATACATTATCAGTGTTGTGTCTTGATATCGCACACTTACTGATAAAGGAATTATTATATCGCAAAAAAATGTATGAAACATATTGTTTTTAACTTGATTATAGTAGGCGATAACCATTTCGCCTGCTAGATATAAAGCGTTATGCTTTTAATAATAATTAGAATTTTAAAATATTTTAAATGATACTAAATTCTGTAATTTTCTCAGAAACTTTGTTTTGATACTGGTGAAAAACAAGTGCTAGTAGAGTCCAACTTAGATACAGTGGAAGGTCTTGCATATGATTGGATCGGTGAAAATCTCTACTTCATGGATTCGGGGACAAAAGCAGTGGAAGTGTGCCGCAAAGATGGGTCTTTCCGTCGAGTGCTGTTCACTAATACTGATCAGCCAAGAGGAATTGTATTGGACCCAAATCGTGGGTAGGTATCAATATTTGTGAATTTATATAAGTTAACCTTTTATTCATTTATTCAAATTTTAAATTTTCTAATCATGTTAATTTTATTTGTGTAATTTTATTTGTTTTTGTTCGTGTGTTTATTATATTTAGTCCATTTTTTCAATTAGTTTGCATGTTTCATTATTTTGTTTATTTCATTTAATTTGTTAATATTGGATACAATTTTTTTATTGCTTCATTTTTTTTGTTTATTCTGTTTTATTTTGTTTATGTAATTTATTTTGTTTAATTATTCTTTTATTTGTTTATTTTGTTTATTTTGTTTATTTCATCTAGTTTCTATATTTTATTTAGTTTTCATTTATATTATTTATTTTATTGAAATTCAATATTTCAATTTTAAAAATTACAGAGATTATCTGATGGACAGTTATTAAAAAGTTATAAAAATATATTGAAAATGACAAAATAAAACAAATATTTCTTTTTTTGTTTATGATTCTATTTTTTAAAATTTATTTATTTTTGTAGATTTTTTTATTTATTTTTTATTTTTGTGTATGATTCTATTTTTTTTTCCAGTGTGATGTACTGGACAGATTGGGGACAGGCTCCCAAAATCCTTATGGGAGACATGGATGGAAAAAATCAGATTGTGATTGTCTCCACCTACATCCATTGGCCCAATGGCATTGCTATAGATGACAGTACAAGCAGACTATACTGGACAGATGCATATTTTGATCGTATCGAGACTGCTGACCTGAATGGCCAACACCGTCAGGTTCTCTTGGAGGAGAACATTCCTCATCCGTATGCAATAGGTGTTTTTAAGGTAATGCGAGCTGTTAATTACGCTATATTTTCTAAATTAAAAGCGACATGTGGGAAAAGTGCGGCATGCTGGCCTGACAGATGTTTTGTTGCAACCCCCAAAAATAGATTAAAACCTGCTGTGTGTGGCCCACCTGCCATCTTTGAATAGAAAATCACGTTATTGCCCGATGTCAATCGTTAATAAAAAAATAGACTACATTAAAACTGAGCATAAAAACAGTACAAAAGAAAAAAATGTGCTTGTTTTTAAACAAGCACATTGTAAATGTCAAATAAAGATATCTTACAGGATGATTTTATGGTGGGGTTGAGGGTGGTATTTACTAATAGGTAAAAAATCCAAGTTTATCATTGTCAACAGATGATGGGTTCACAAATTATGTTATAAAACATCTAATTTTATAGGCTACATGAAAGAAACTATTCTAATGCCATATTTTGTGAAAACAAGAGCACTGAGAGATCAGTCTTCTTTATACACTGTATTTAAAAAAAAATGTTCTTGTCATTTATGGAAAATATCAGTATTGGATCTTTCTCAATTTTTCAAAAAAATTTAATTATTAATGAAATATATTTCCAATTTCTAATTGCAGGACAAGATTTATTGGGATGACTGGTCAGACCAAGCAATCATGTCTGCCCGAAAGACAGATGGGCAGGAAAGAAGTACATTGCTTTCAGATAAAAGTGGAATTATGGACTTGAAAATACTTGCTAAGACATCACAACAAGGTAGTACCATATTTGAATAGGATATTGCTGATGGTATAACTAGAGTTGTTGAAAAAGCAGGCATATCCCAAATCTCCCGCAACTCTCCCGGAAATCAGGAAAGCCTCCCACACTTCTGCAATCAAGCAAGAATCTTTTGGAAAATAACCCATTTCATGCAATTTAAAAATATATACATGTTTTAAACGGCTTTATTATCAATTGTCTCACAGATGTCAATGCCAATTCTGCTGCTATTTGCAGCAGAATGAAATTAGATGTGTTATGAAAGCTCATTTAACCAGGTCTCGCGGAAGGGACTTCTTTCAACTGGGGATTTCTTTGAGCCTTGATCACTGAATATGATATCATGTGTGACAATCTCTGGCAAAACCCTCCGTTTGTAGGAAAAAATAAAAAATTTAGTTTTTGGTGTTTTTAAATTCTGCATGAAGTCTTCTTTAAAACAGTGTTTATTTGATGGAAATTGGTTAAGTATTACCAAAATTGTGAATATTTATTTCATTGGATATCAGTCATGTAAGTTTCGTGAAAACAGCTTCCAAAGATTCCAAAATCAATAGTTTATTAGTAAGATTTATATTTTAAAAAACAATTTTAATATTTTTTCAGGTAGATTTAGTGATTGATATTTTATAGAAATGTTCTTCAATATATCTTCTTTTATAAAATGGAAAAACATGAAATTTTCTAAATTCTGATTCTCAAACTTTTGGGTGCTTGTGGGAAATTAGAAATTGCGACAAACGGAGGGTTTTGCCGGAGCCAGTAAAGTTGTAGTTTAGATGGTTAGGATGGTTGCTTACCAATTCCAAGTTAAAAGTTTGAGGGTTAAATCTTGTTAAATGACATGATTTTTTTTTTCATGACTAATTACAACTCAAGTCTCTTAAACCTTTTATTATGGTTCTTATCATAAGGATATGTTTGTCTTAGGAAAGAGATTGTCACTTATGATATTGATTAGGTTTGCTATTAGCAGTACTTAGTATATGTGCCTACATATATAACAGAATAATGATAATCAGGGGTGGATTTAAGTGGACCCGCCCCTGATAATATTAATAGTAGTAATAAACCCAAAATTCTTGGTAATTAAAAGTAATTAAAACAATAACTAAATAAATAATAATTAAAGGGTGTTTGACGCGCACACACACACACACAAACATAAATATCGATATCCCCTAGCTTAAGGTATACTGTATCCAGGTATTATTGTTCTGTACACTTTCAAATACAACATTAATGGAAGGTTGACTTTGAACTGAGGTAGAAAACAATGGCATTATAGTTTGGTCCCATATACATGAAGGTACTCTATTCAGCAACATCTGCTTTTCATAAAATATTTGGCTCCATTGCTGTGCATTGCAACATTGTTGACACTGCTTTTGAACCACAAAAAAAACCCTCTGATTAACTGAGACTTTGCCAGTTCAAATTGTATTTGACAAGTACATATGACATGCCTAAATATGGTCATGATGACATCACATCATCATCATACATAGGCACATCATTATTATTGATTGGTGAAGATGAGAAAAGAAAAAAAAAATTAATAAACATGATACTATGATAGGTGAAAATGAAAAAAAATTTGTTACGAAAAGATTTTAAATCTGGAATAAACGTAGGGTTTCCTCCACAAAAGAGAGAGAAAAAAATATATATAGGCATATAGAGAAAATTTGATAATCTTTATAATCCAAATTTTCAGGGACCAATCCTTGCAAGATTAACAACGGGGGTTGTAGTCAGCTGTGCTTGCCTCGACCAGCTACTACAGCTGAAGATAATGGCGTCAGCAGGTCATGTTTGTGTGCAGATGGCTTCAATAAAACAGTGGATGGACGGAATGAGCATTGTTCCTGTGGTGGTGCAAATGAACGTATGTTGAGTAATGGAACTTGCATAGCAGACCGTGAGTGTTTGAAAACCTTATTTTATTTCTATAAAAATGGTAAGATCGTGTTTCGTCTGGAGGGTTGAAATGCAAGGTTCAGTGAGCCTTTCCAGTGTCAATTAGACTCATCCATCAGAACAGCGCCAGGAATTAGACGTATCAAGGAATCACGTTGTCCACAAACGCATATGTGTACGTACATTTACGGTATTGTTCTGTGGGATCTTTTAGCAATATTAAAGGGTCTGAGGCTTACTTTCAGAAGAGTTGTTTAAGTTTTTGTTCCTGTGTGCAGCATGGCACATGTGCAGGTTAAAGACTGCGATACATTCTTTAGAAAAGAGCAGGGGATTCTCTGCAGTATGCCGCCAAATTCACCATCAGAAGGACCCTCACTAGAAATAAGTCTTCAGACTTCCGTAGGTTGTTTCTGGCATGTTTCACACAAAAGAAGTTCAATTTGTTGATCCAATTGAATGAGTTTTATCTCGACAGACAATGTTTAATCAGGCTGTCTGATAGATATTCATAATTGAACTTTCCAGAGTGTCAATCAAACTTGACAACCGACCAATCAGAACAGTGCGCGTGTCCAACAAACACACATGTTGTCCCTCAAACGTACATGTTTGTGTTTATGTTTTACACTGTTATTTTGTGGACCTTAGCAACCATATCCAAAAGGTGGGGCTTAGCGGAAAAATTCATTGGTCTGCCCACCAAATCATGATAATAGTTCTGATGGCATATTCTTCACATGAAGAAGTGAGTAAGAGTTAAAGATGCTGCCATTTATTATATATATGAATAAAAATGAAAATCTATGATATCTGCCTTCCACTGTCTGCTTTCTTGAATGTATGCCACTTTTTATACTCCAGGGTATTTTAATGTGTACCAAGAACAACGCCACATAGTTTGGAAAATATTGTTCTTTTTCTATTACATTCAGTTTACCAAAATATTTATTTCTGTGCTTACTGTTAACCTTGCAGATCGCGGGACATGCAATCCTGACCAGTTCTACTGTGGTAATGGCCGTTGCATTCCGTCGATATGGATTTGTGATCATGATAATGATTGCGGAGATATGACAGATGAAAATCATTGTTGTAAGTAAAGCAAGCTTTAGTAAATGCTTATGTTTGTCACATCATCACTATATATAGCCACATCCTGACTATGTTGTACCTACCTATCTAATTCACTTGTTTCGGGTGCAGTTGTACTTAGTAACTCATCTTATGTTTTTGTGTATCTAGCCGACAAGGGTGTACCCTGTGTCGGTTCCAGATAAATTGCTGATTGGGGGGGGGTGAGGTCTGACATTTTTGACACCAGGGTCTGAACCAAAGGACCAAATAAACCAAGGGTCCTGAAAAAAAAATTCCATGATAGGGTTCATGGGGAGAGTTTTTATGACTTATTATGGCCCAAAATAGTGCTTTTAGACCTAAAGATTAGGGATTGGTGATCAAATTAACGTTATTTGGATAGGCAAATTCAATTTTGGTCCGTATCTAGCCTATGAGGGTGTACTGCATGCATTTATTATTATATCTATTTATCTCATTCACTTGTTTTGGTTGCTGTTGTAACTGATCTTATGTTTTTGTATATCTAGCTTACAATGCCTGTCATTCAGACGAGTTCACCTGTGTGAGTGATGGCACATGCATTCCAATACGATGGATGTGCGACTTTGACAATGATTGCATTGATGGCAGTGATGAAAATGATCCTAGTTGTAGTAAGTATACAAATTGAGTTGTAAATTCTAGAGTGTATGTATGTATTTTGCATGTATGCCATGGTATCTTGCATGTATGCCATGGTATCTTGCATGTATGCCATGGTATCTTGCATGTATGCCATAGTATCTTGCATTTATGCCATTGTATCATTCATGTGCACCATTTTATCTTGCATGTATGCTATGGTATCTTGCATTTATGCCATGGTACCGTGCATATATCCGTGGTATCTTGCATATATGCCATAATTACCCTCCTATCTTACATATGTTATCCCAACACTGGTGTCCTAAGTGTGTCTTTGTACACTGATGTTTTCCATATGCCATATACTACGGTATATGTCAGGTACACTTAGGTGTCTTGCATAGCTTGGTAGCTTTGGTAGCTTACTGCAAAGTCTGTCATTGGTATGCACACCATATAGAATGTATGCCACGCATACCATGGTATTTCGCGTGTATGACATGAACACTATACTATCTTACATATGTGTCATCCCAACCCTGATGTCCTTCATGTATCCATGCATACCATGACATCTTGCATATATGTGAGGTCTCACTACGAAATGAGATGCATCGTTGGTGAAATCATATTGAGATATTCACCAAAACAGGCCAAAGTCAACATTTTTACAAAATATTGATTTTAATGTTTTGAATAACTTGATACTTCTATTTTTCGATTGTACACTTTGTAAGTGAATTTTCTTGCCAAAACAGTGTCCTCGGCACATATTCTGTAATTCTGGTCATATTATTTGTACAGGTTAGTTTATCTTTGTGGCTGATTTTCTCAAAACGTGGTTCTTTTTACACCTAAATTTTAAATGCTTACATCTCTGGATTTACTTATAGTAGGGAAGCCATTCAAAGACCATATAATGTGATCTACCCAAATATAATATAAACTCAATTTTTGAATTTCTAACCATGAGACTCATTTTGTGGTGAGACCTCACATATGCCATAGACAGTTTGTATCATATATGTAAAATATACTCAAGTATCTTGCATAGCTTGGTGGTGTTGGTAGCTCATGTGCCATGCATACTGCCTAAGACAACATATATAGTTAGTTGTATCAGATACAGCAAAGTCTACCATTTGAATGTATAGCAAATAAAATGTATGCCATGTATACCCTGCTTTGTAGCATTACCGTAGCCTAATTTTATATCTTTTCTTTTTAAAGCTATCAAAATTAGATTATTTATACTTAAAGATTATATATATGTATACCTTTTTTCTTGTCATCATCTGTAATTTCTCAATCATATTTTTCTTATGTAGTTATATCAAGTTGTGATGAAAATCAGTTCTCATGTGCAAATGGCAACTGTATTCCACAATCATGGGAGTGTGATAGTGATAATGATTGTCAAGACTACTCGGATGAAGTCAACTGCACATATGGTAACCTCTTACATTAATTTGTGCTTTAAAAATAAGAATAATTATGTGAGCCAGGGAGCAGCGAAAGCGGAACCACTGTCATCTTAGAGATGTGCTGCTCCCCGAATTATAATATGTTACACAATAAGGCCTCTAAGCACTTCACGTTATTACCCCCAGTCATTGGATGGAGCACATAGTTGGCTCTTTGGGGAGAATTCTATAATGTTGCTGCTGTAATCAGCGCGTTTTGGGTTCGAGCCTACTAGGTACCCACTTATACCCCTGGGTGTAATCATAGGTAAAGTGCCTTGCCTAAGGATGCAATCAAATGCACAGCGAGGGATTGAAACTCTGACCTCAAAGTTGATAACCAGGACCGTTAACTCTGTGCCAAACTGCTCCTACAATAAATAAATAAATATGCATGTGAATTCTCAGGAAAAGTTATTATTTAAACAAGATATTAGCTGTAAATTTTTTTATGTTACAAAGCAAAAACATATTTTCTTCCCCAAGCAAGAGATAGTATTATTCCTGTATTCTTCACTTGATTGGGTGACAATTAGTTTGAAAGATTTGGTCGAATCTATGTTGTGCAGAGAACGTACGATGGTCCTGCATTAATGAATCGGTTCTAGCGTGGCCTCGTCACACAAATCGAAAAATCCTCAATAACTAATGCATTATCCACACTATCAGGTTGTGTGTGACGAATGTATGTGGTTTGCCTCCATGTGACCAGCTCTGGCAAAACCAGCAATTTCTAATTTTCCACAAGCACCTAAACATTTGAGAATGAGAACTTTGAACATTTTAATGTTTTTGCATTTTATAAAAGAATATATAGTGAAGAACAATCTGCTGAAATGTTTTAACCCTTTGAGGTCTTGGTCCGTATCCCATACGGAGTAATTTACTGTCCTGGATGCGCAGTGCGTATACGGTACACACCTATTTATAGTTACTATGACGTTAGTGAAATCCCCTAAAAGTGTCAGCAACAGAGGGCAGCATTATTAAAACAATAGGAGACAAGGTTTAGCAATCATATAGAGCAAAAAAAAAAAACAAAAAAAAAATTTTCTGTCAGTGATTGATGTACTTGGATAGACGAGGATAGCGGGATTGTTTATATAATAAATAAATAATTAATTAGTAGTACAAATAATATGAATCTGAGGAAAGATTTTAACTAAAAACTTTAGCAGTGCAACCAGTAATGCTAGGCCTAGTTCTGCAAACCCCTACCCCCATCTTCTCTATTATTATTATATTATTTTATTATTTCATCAAGTGTACTAGTTTTAGTGAAATATATCCTAGGTCCAGTAGTCCACCCTAGTTAGAAATAAGCATGTATGTAGGACTAGCAAGGCTTACTTGCCCTCTATCGGGGGGGGGGGGGGGGGGGGGGGGCGTGTGATAGAGGCTGTTCCCCAAATTTTGACCTTTGTGACCTTGGGCATAAAAAAAATCGTCATAAATATTAAAAGCATAATTTTTTTTAACCAAACACATTTTTTTTATGTAGAAAACAACATATTCTACATAATGCATAACATTTGTGAGCATAGGAATTTTTTTAGTGTCGTTTACATGGGGTTTATGGGAAAAAAGTACCCTTTTTGGGCCCCTAAATTGCAATTTTGTGGCACATGACCTTTGACCTAGGTAATAACGTCAAACAATTTTGCTATTTTTCGGAAGCCCAGAACATTTTACCCAACAATCAAACCCTTTGCTTTGCCCTCTATCAGGGGAGGGGGCGTGTGATAGAGGCCGTTCCCCAAATTTTTACCTCAATGACCTTTGTGAAATCGTCATAAATATGAAAGCATAACATATTCCACATAATGCGTAACATTTATGAGCATAGGTAAAAAAGTCAAACAATTTTGCTATTTTTCGAAACAATGAAACCCAACATTTGCAGAAAGTTACAGTCATAAAAATTTATTATGAGTTTTCCAGAAACCTATTAAAACCCCTTAAGGGGCCCCAGTGACCTAAAATAAACCCCCTTGAGACTGATAACCAATGAATTAAATATTCATAACTTTGCTAAAACTCAACCAATTTCTATCAAATAAACACTATTTTATAGAAGAATTTGTGCAGAATCTAAAAACACACACACAAAAAAAAAATCAATTTTGAATTTTTCTTACAACTGGCTGGTTTTTGGCAGATCTGGTCACATATATGAATATATTGATGTCAAATGACTATGTATATATGGGAAATATATTGCACTGGTACTACTTACACTGGCATAAACTAGGCCTAGGCTAGGCTTACAGGCTTACGCAGCTAAGTCTGAGGGGGCCTAGGCCTACAGTAGGCAGCTTCTAAGCATTCTGATCCCACTCTAGGCCCTACACAAATTTGTTTTTATCGGACATTTGTACCTTCTCAAATACCTAGATTGTGGATTTTTACTCCAACACAACTTCCATAGATGCTTGTTTATTATATTGATCATTCAATTAAACAATCAAGCACTATGTTGAATTTTAAAGCTGAAAACCATGTTTGAAAGAGCTAAGTAAAATAGTATAGTATGGTGTGTTGTGTTGTATGCATGCTAATAACATTTACAATTCGAGTGGATTTTTTTTTTTTTTTCCGCTTCAATTTTTATGACGTCATCACCTTTATATTACATTCGTAAAAACGGGAATTTGTTAAATCGGTGTTCGTAAATGAGGGTTTCTACTGCATATACATGTCACATAAAACGTAATAGTCTGGACAAAAAGATTTAAGATGGTAGGCACTAATTAATTGTGATGACATATTAAGATGAAAAATCTATAGGTTCAGGATTCCAGGTTTGTAACAATAGATGGCAGACATTTTAACATTGGGTGGATAACATTGGGTGGATGATAGCATTGGTAAATCTAAATAATAAAAGTGGATTTTAAGAATGGGCAAGGGGGTTAATAAAGGTAGGTGGAGCGCCATGAACTAAGCTTTAGACTGGGTGGAAAACTCGCACCATAACCATAACTACATCCCTAGAGTTTTTGTTCATGAATGCAATTCCACTATTTGCTTTATTACAATTTTTTAAATTTTTTCCAGCACCACCCACCACAATGTATCCAGGAAGCTGCAGTACTTATGAGTTCCAGTGCGATAATGGTCGGTGTATTCCAAAGAGGTGGGAATGTGATGGCGATAACGACTGCTCTGACAACTCCGATGAAATGTTTTGTAACTCAAGTAAAGTCATCATCTTAAATATATTAATTATTAATAATTCCATCAGTTACCCAGTTACCAGGTCAATTTGACTAGTTATTATGACTTTATACACTTTTTTTTGTCTTTATTACTATTGTTATAGTTACTTTCATTATTATGATTATTATTTTTATTATTGTTAATGGATTATTATTATTTATATTACTGTCATTTTTATTGATCTTATTATTATCAGTAATGTTTTTGCCTCATGCGTTTCGCCTATTGATACAGTAGTTTAAGTGATTTCAATGGTAGCTGACTTGGAAGATTTCTCTTTGTTAGCTACTATCTCATGAGATAAATACAATTATGAATTATGAATTTAACAACATTTATATTTAAAAAATCAAAACCTCAGACATTATTATTATTATTATTGTTATTATTATTATTATTATCATCATCATCATCATCATCATTATTATTATATATATTTTTTTTATAAACTTACAGTTTCATAAAGATAAGTATAAGTTATTCACTGCAACCTGTTTACGAGATTGCCTCCTAGGTTTCGGAAATTTGTTCATGAGGATAAATGAAAATTAACTTCTGTTAGGAGGAAAGTTCACTATTTTTATCCCTTTTTGTCTACAAAGTAATTAAGTAATTGTATGATAAAAATAAAAGTAAAGATTAATAAATTGTGTACCAAAGTTGTATATACATATAACTTTATCCTGTTATGGCTGTTTGATTGATTGCCATTTAAAATATCACTTTCCTTGTTCTGGTAGCAATTACACCAACATGCGAAAGCTGGCAGTTCACATGCGCCAACGGACAGTGTATTTACCGGTCATGGCACTGCGATGGTATGGAAGATTGTTACGATGGCAGTGATGAGGATGGATGTCGTAAGTATTTGCCAATTTTCTATTAAGCGAAAGCACTCTTTGGAAAAACTGGGGGTGGTAGTCGCTCTATGTAGTTACCATCAACGATGAACGATAAAACTAAATTATTAACGAGCACAAATATTTTATAACGGAAAAGCACACAATGTTTACATTAAAAACAAGTCGATAAGTTTTTAAAAAGCTATATCCATGTTTACATATACAGTAGTTACAGTAATTAGCAAGATCGTATCTGTTTTCTACTCAGTGCTATGGAAAAATATCTAGCGGTGCTATCCACTGCGTGGTGCTCTATTTGTTACTAGCCAGCTGCTCAGGCTCGTCTGCTTGAAGTCCCCCAGTAAGTTGCGAGACATTGGCGGCGCTTTTTCAAAATAAACCTGATAAAATGGTCTATACCTTTTTTTTTTATTAGCTACCTATGAAATAACAACTTACAGCCCACCTGATTACGGTACTTGTTCTGGCTTCCAATTTTCCTGTAATAATGGCCACTGCATACCGTACTATTGGAAGTGTGACGGCGTGGATGACTGCGGTGATTATTCAGACGAATATGATTGTTGTGAGTTTTAAAAATCTTTTTTTTTTTTAATTTTAGATCCAGAAATTAGATCAGATTAATTATGCATCCACTGCAAAGCTACAGAGCATGAAGTGGTCAAATGTATAAAGTTTTTTGCAACATAAGTTCGCTTAGAGCCCTCGGTATTAATTCAAAAATTCAGTTTGGCCCTCCAACTCATTTTGGCCTGACTTTCGGTTCAAATCCCACTGTTATTGGCAACACAGTTTACTTTTTTGTTTTGCCTTAATACACATCTCTATACATGTATATGCTTGTTTTTTCTAATGTCTTTCAGCTACTTCGTTCCCATGGACAACCGGTGATTATTGGTGCACTGGCAATGAATTCAGATGCAGTGATGGACGTTGTATCTCTTGGTATTGGAAATGTGACGGTGACAATGACTGCGGTGACATGTCGGATGAAAGAAATTGTTATGGTGAGTAAAAAGGTTCAGTTTGTTAGTCAATCAATCAAATCAGCAGTTGTGATTTGGGCTTTTAGCTATGAATTCCTGGTTTTAACACCCTTGCTATGCACTTTGCATATTTTATGTATGATTATTTCTCTCCACCTACAGTAGGAGTATGATATGGTTTCCTTGTAGGAAGTTGTCATATTGAATTTAATTATGCACAATGCAGCCGAATGCTCCTCCTTAATGAGTAGAAGGAATGAAAAGTAAAACATAATTAAACATTCTGCTGATTTTCAGTCAGTTAAAAGTATACTGTGTGTGGTTATTTCTAAACCTCATTTTAACAATACA